TTAAGCGTCGTAAATTTGTGATATTGCTCAAGCTGGCAACCACTACAGCCTTAAGTTATTGGTTTCCTCTCTTCATATCTAGAATCGTAGATTTTGATTTCGACATAAAGATAGCGTTGTATACTGTAACATTGCTTACTGGTGCCTACATTGGTATTGCGTTTGTCTTCACACGAAGAAATTATCAGTTGCTCAAGAAAAAATATTTCCCAGCAAACAATAAGATGCCTGCAGATGACGAAATTCCGCTGAATAGACTATAGTGGAAGTAAGTCGACTGTATAAGGGTAAATAAGCAATTAAGCAAGGAACTGCTCCACCCATCTTGCTTTAGGCCAGCGAACGGCAAATTTCTCCAGCTCTAAGAAGACATTTGACAGCCATTCGCCAGAGGATGTGTGCAATTCGCCGGTACTTGCAGTCAAGACAAGCTGAAATTTTTAGCCCGGTCTTGCACTCAGACAATATACCAAATTAATAGACAAAGCTTGCAAGCCTTTGCCGACCACTCAACTCACAACGCCCTTAAAGCTTCGACCTTCCATTGTTTGCATATTCGCTTCGCTCATCAATTATCAGGGCCCATAGTAATTGGTTTACACTGTTGTGGTGTCCCTGCCATTCTTGTTCATGTTTATTGTCTAGATGTCTATTTGTTGTTCTGGTGTGTTTTTGGCAAAGTTTAATAAATAAATAAATAAATAGCCGGAGCCTCAGTAGAGCGAAACAGCATTGGCCATACCCAAATTATTATTAGCCAGGACTTCAAACGGATACCTCAAGGGCTGCAAGCAAGCAAGCATGTTACGTAGTAATATATAAAGGAAATATGTGTGTACATAAAGTAAGTATAAGTAAACAGTAATCAATGAACAGTGATTAATTTGAAATCATCTGTAATCATGTACACAACTTGTAAAAGAATGCAACGTATTCTACCCAAAGTGAAAACGCTTAAAATATATAATGCCATTAATTTAAAAAGTATGTATACATTGTATTTTAGATGTTTCATGTTTGTAGTAAAGTAAATAAAAAATGCAAAATTTCCATCTTTCTCATTTTGTTTCCAAGGAGGGGAGCCCCGTCAGTTTCCACCATGCCGAAAATCTCAGGAAATTTCCACAACACAGGAGGTTGATAAAATGTGCCTTAAGTATTTAAATCTACTCACACAAGTTTAATTTAACAGGAGTTCTCTATAATCTATATAATAATCTGAGTTCAATCTGCCACTTCATGGTTCGAGAGCCATGATCTGCTAGAGGACAGACTGACGGATGACGTCATTTCAATGAAGTGATATTTCTAAGGCTTACCCAAGCACATGCGACACCTCTTTCAGAGGCACCAGTGAAGTGGTTTGTTTTGTATAGATCATGTCCGACTTAGCAATCTCAGTCCATCGCGCTTCAAAGTCCCGAAACAGAGTCTTGCAGTTTAATGGGCTAACAATGTGTGCCGATGTGCACATCGCTTTTGCAGAAATAGTAAATTTTTTGCATATCATTTTTCCAAACATTGTGCAAACTTTGTTATTAAACTCGACAATTTAGAGCCACATTTTTTATTTTGTTCCTCATTTTATTTATATTGTAACAAAAGAATATCTAGAAAGTAGAGTACCGTATACTACAAAAAGTATAGGCACAAAATTTGCCACGAAATGACCGCCATTGTGCGAGTGTTTCCCCTTTCCCGTTCTAATTCAAGCTCTGGTACCATATAAAACAAATAGATATTATTTTACCTTATTCCGAACATTTATGGATATTCAGAGGACTTGATAACGTGGCATTAAAACATCCATGACTCGCCCCAACAGCTCGTAGAGACATTTTTCAACTTATGACATCATACTGCGTATCTATAACTAAACAAACCAATACACCCATTCGATAATTACGTCACAACTACACTGTTTTCAACTTACGACCACCTTAAATGGAAAAGATTTCAAGCTTTTTTCTCATGGGCTATGCACAAAAAACATCCTTCTTCAACACGTGCGCGAAAAAAAATTTGGGATTTTGACCAGTAAATATGGAAATAGCCTCGTTTTCGTGGTAAAGCTTATTTCCACATTTATTGGTCAAAATAAAGAATTCTTTTCATGCATGTGTTGATGAAGGATGTTCTGCTTCTCTGTGTATAGCCCATGAGAAAAAACTTGAAATCCTTTCGATTTAAGGTGGTCCTAAGTTGGAAACAGTGTTAGTCGTGACGTAATTACCGGAAAGGTGTATTGAAGGTATAGCATTGCGTTTCGATCACCCCATAGATGAACTACCTGATCCGGAATTTTCAATTTCACAGTTGGGACAGGGGGATCTGGTCAAAAAATCTGGGAAATGAGATTTAGACCCTCGTCAACATCTGGTATCCTGTACGTGATAGAAAGCCACATAAAAATGGTAATAAATAAATGTTTCTGAGTCAGAATACCTTCCCACTAGTCTTCATTTATTGCTTATTCTTGGCCATAAAGCCATTCATCTCAATCAATACTTATTTGGAATGTCAATTAAATATACATCTATGAAATTTAAATACAATGAATTATAGCAGATTTAGTACATATGCAAAGTTTGATAAATATTACTATAACAAACGCTCAGTTGTCCCTTGTTTCCCCCCATTATCCCATTATATGTGAACAATCGTCCGTGCGTTTTCTTTGAGTGACAGTACAAGCACAGAAAAAAATTAAATTTCCATTAATGGATTTTTGAATGTAAAAACTGAACTCCTGCCATTGTTGGTTATTATAGATTTTCCATCTATATGGTAAATAGGTAAAAACCATGATGTTTAATATTTACCAGGAAAATACCATTAATGGTAAATATTAAAGTGGAAGTCAAGTCCGTTCTGCGCATCGGTTCTGCTCATAACAATGTGAGGACCCTCTCATGTAAACATTGCCCAAATTTCGAATGTTTCGAATTTTTCTGAGCATAAACTCTATGTCATATACATGTAGAAGCATAGCGAACCAAAATGGTGTTAGATATTCAGACAGTACATCATATTTTAAAAAATACAGCAGTTCAAAATGTAAACAAACCGTCTGTTTACATTACGGACTTGACTTCCACTTTAAACATCATGGTTTTACTAATTTACCAAATGGGAAATGAAATCTTTAATAACCAATAATGGTTTTTACATTGATAGTATACATGGTAAATCTTGAGAAACCATTCAAAAACCATTAATGGAAATTTAAAATCTTTTCCTGTGTAATGGACATTTGTTTGTTTCATAATTTCCCATCCCTCGAACCAACGACGCAATGAACCTAATCTGTTAACGATCATATATAACCGATAAACAGTGTGAATAAGAAGGTAATCAAAATTTGACAGTTTATCGTGTGTTAATTATTACGTTTACTCATTTTCTTTTTTTCATACCAATAAAGACCAGGCTTTTTGCTATCGAATGCTACCTTTCGTGTATCATTGCGATCAAAAATAGCCACATACAATCCGATTTAAAAATGCCGCTCGAAATCGCATTTGGAAATTGCATCTAAACCGGGCTATAGTATTGTCTGAGCAGTGAAATTATTCTCATTTGGGATCCAAATTGAAGACCCTTGAGTAAATATGGCGCAACGCATGTATACAAGTATCATATTGTGAAACAAATTTTACCCGCAATTTTACATCAAACAACACTGGAAGCTTGCAACCTCGCAAGCCAGGGTCTTTTACCTGCGCTAGGGCTGGGAAGCTTGCAGACTGGACTCGCAATGACATACGTTTCCCAAATGGGCAACAAACATTTGGGCAAATGTTCGAAAATTGGAAGAACATCTAAATCCCAAAGGTGGAAATATGCGAATTCAAACTATCAGATCGCATTTGGTGATTTTTTATCGTAATCACACCATGAAGGTGTCATTTGACAGCTAGAAACCGGATCTTTATAAAAGCAAAAACAAAACACATTGACGTATTAATTAACACATGATAACATGTCGCAGTTCGATCATTAGATCTGTGCGTGATGATCACATTTTAAATTTCCGGGTGTTCGGCTACAATACCAAAATGGTGTAATCGCTGCGGCTCTGCAGACATCGACCTACACACGTAAAAACGCACAAGTTGTAACAAACCTGCATAGACTTGTAGCAATGCTGTTCCAACAACTTCTCAACAGGATGTGTTCGCACTGCTTGTTCCCAGCTTGTTGACGAGTTGTCAACGGCTTGTTGACAACTTGCTACAAGATTGTTGAGCTCAACAGACTTGTTACAAGTTGTTCCAACAACTTGTTATCGTCCTGCAGTTCAACAATTTGTCAACAAGTTGTGAGTGACAATCTTGTAGCAACTTGATAAAATAACAACATTGTTACAACTTGTTGGCAAGCTTGCCACGAGCATGTTGCGAACACATCTTGTTGACAAGTTGTGAGACGTGTGTAGTGTAAATGTTGGCATCATTTTTGTGTTAGGGAAACACCAAATATTAATAAGCTTTCGTTGGTAGGGATGCAACTACCAAATACACTGAGCAATCGTATTACTTACATCCAATAAGTATAGTTGTTTTTTATATAACACCTCATTAAATTCTGGTAATTTAATCGGCTGATTATGATCACATGATATGAAATAAAAAATTACCATTTTGAGCGTGCAATGGAATGCGTTCGATCCACCTGTCAAAATCTTAATCGTATCCTAATCGTAGCTCATGTAAACCAAATTTTCGTAACGAGGCCGATGGAATTGAGAGATCGATTGATTTATTTTGGTGTCATAAAAACAAATGTTTTCAATCGTGAAATAGTAAAAATATTTTCACTCGGCCATCGCCTGGTGGAATGGAAAATTTCATCTTTCACCTCATGAAAAGATTTTGACCATTGCACGCATAAACATATTTGTATACAATATACTTATTGGGTAAAGATTTGGTATTTCATAAAACAAAAATGGTGTTAACATTTAACACTAAATCAGTGTCTACAGAGCTGCAATGATTGTACCATTTTGGTGTTGTAGCCGAACACCCAGAAACTCGGAGTGCAGTTACGGTGCAGTCTGAAATTGCGGATCCAGATTCCAGTCTCCAGTCCAAAAAATCATGAGTCCAGTATTATGAGTCCTGTTGTTTTTTCCTCAACCAGGCAAAAGACATACTAATATCTGGACTGTGAGCCTTGGACTCCGGACTGGAGACTGGAGTCCGGATCCGTTTTTTGGCCTTCTACATATTATTTGTACACTCCAGTGAGTTTTAAACTGCAATGAGCGACAATATTAACAACATCCTTGCCCCTCTCTTTTATCGCTCACGTATTTCTTCATATCGAACTTTGATGAATCATTCGCTTGTTTATGTTGAAACGTCAGTTCTCTAAAATCAATTAGAAATTACAGATGGCAAACAACACACGTAAAAATCTCACGTGTCAATAAGATGTGTTCGCAACAGGCTTGTAGCAAGCTTGTCAATAAGTTGTAGCAATGTTGTTATTTTATCAAGTTGCAACAAGGTTGTCACTCACAACTTGTTGACAAATTGTTGAATTGCAGGACGATAACAAGTTGTTGGAACAACTTGTAACAAGTCTGCTGAGCACAACAACCTTGTAGCAACCTTGTCAACAAGCCGTTGACAACTTGCCAACCAAGCTGGGAGCGAGCAGTGCGAACACATCCTGTTGACTAGTTGTTGGAACAGCATTGCTACAAGTCTGCTGCAGGTTTGTTATAACGTGTTCGTTTTTGCGTGTGCAGAGGACACACGGAGATTTTCAATTTAACCGAAACTTGCTCAATAGACCTTTCCCCTTTTGAGTGAAATTTTTATCTAGACAAGTCTGGACAAAAATTTCATCACAGCTTGAAAGAGCATCACAAAATTAGTAATATTCCGAAGTTTCGTTGCGAAATGTTGTAAAATGCGGATAATATAGCCTTGCGAATTTTGCCATTTTTCAGTCATTTTGCATTACAAACGGGAAATTGATAATCAGATGATCGAACTGATTATCAATTTCCCATTTGTAATACAAAATGACTAAAAAACGGTCTTCAAGAAACAAAACGGTCTTCTAAAAAACTTCGCAAGGCTATATTATCCGCATTTTACAACATTTCGCAACGAAACTTCGGAATATTATTAATTTTGTGATGCTCTTTCAAGCTGTGATGAAATTTTTGTCCAGGCTAGTCTAGATCAAAATTTGACTCAAAAGGGGAAAGGTCTATTCGTGATTCCCCATATTACGTTTTCGTAGCGCTTTGCATTGTGGTTATAGTGGTATCACTGATAAAGATAGCGGCCTCGAATGAAAATATTGAATGTTTTCGCGAATATTTTGCTGTGGCTATCGCGCAACTGACCCCAGCTTTTTTTTAAAGTTCTTGCACTGGTCAGGACAAAAAATAAGCCATCTTGAATATCAGTGATACCACTATAACCACAATGCAAAGTGCTACGAAAACGTAATAAGGGGAATCACGAATTCGTCCTTAAAAAATGTCCATTAGTATTACCACATGTGCAGTATTAATACTTATTTTTTTAAGTTATCCTACACACAAACACACACAGATAGAAAGAGACAAACAGACATACATGGGCAGAAAAGATTATCGATAGATACTTAACAAATATTTACATCAAATGGATTGAAAATTAGTTTACCTAGCAATAGCCATAAAAGCCAAGTCAACATTCATTCCAGTTTTAGCACTTGTTTCCATGAACGCAACATTGTTTTCCTAGAGAAAAAGAGTGTCATTCAGCAGCAGAACTATCTTCATCTGCAAGGAGGGGTGTAGGTTCTCCATGGCGTAAGACCCTGTTACACGGTGCAATTTTTCATGCAACTTGTCTCGCAATGTTTAAAAAAAGATTTTGATAAATGCATTGCAAGAGGTGTTACACGCTGCAATGATTTTCATGCAACTCGCAACGATAGGGGACAGAGGCATGCAAAGAGTTTAATTAAAGTAAAGCGTGTACTGGGGAGAGCCAATAGGAACTCTCCAAGCTATATTAAAATATTGCGAGACAAGTTGCACGAAGCCATGTTACACGCTGCAATGCTAAAAATAATTAGTGCAATCGTTGCCAAAAGTAGAACCGACTTCTACTCTGTGCAATGCTTCATGCAACTTGTGTCGCAAAGATTTTGACCATTGCAAGGCATGTTAAACGATGCAATGACTCGTGCAACTTGTCTCGTAACGCCATTGCGAGACAAGTTGCATGAAAAAAAGGGAACCGTGTAACAGGGCCTTTACTGCCCACACTCCTCTGCAGTCTGCACGTTACTAACCCAACAGTACACTCCCATGGTAGATCCGCCCCTGATGTCATTGTATTAGCAAAATTACACATTAACAAGGAATTAGCACAAGATTCAAATTAATTTATTTGACTCACCTGTGCTAGCCGTTCTCCCTCCTCCTTTTTGACGACTCTTTCGTTCGACTTATCTGCCTGGATTTTATGTAAAATATAATAAACGAGAAAGCATTGAAATGCTGTTGAAGAAGTTTACGTTTTAGTTTCATTTTGAAATTTTGAATAGAGTTGCACCGAGTTGCAAAACTCACATTTGAAATTCCCACCTACAAAACCTTTTTGTAACTTAATACATACCTTATTTCCAAAAAGCATAACTACAACATTCCCTGGAGCATAATCCTTGATTTCAGAAAGCCATGCCTAGAATATTTTAAATACAGACTGTTTGAAATAAAGTCACCCAGTATTAAAATATTAACCAATTATAGCCATCATGTCTTCCTAACAAATGTCTATTGATCTGTGTTCGATATACTCTAATACTCTAAATGAGCTGTTCAAATAAGATATTAGATACCTTAAGGTGGCTCCCTACAGTTAGTACAGTTTAAATACGATTTATATAGATCAGACTTCATCCTCGCGACCTGCGCGTGGAATCGTCGTGTTTAGTGTTTACTGTTCGGCAAAAATATTGAAACAAGCCGTGGGAAGTTTTTTGGCGTTTTTATCTACAAAGAAAGCCCCAGTTTTTCATTATAATCCTAATTTTTCCGGCTATTAGTAAAACACGGAGCACGGAGCACACGGAGCACACGGAGCACACGGAGCACACGGAGCACGGAGCACACGGAGTACGGAGCACACGGAGCACGGAGCACATGAAGTACGGAGCAGTAGAAAAACGAAAATCCTTTATAATAAAATACACTGTTTACTATTACAAATTTTTGTTATTATTAACAAAGTTTTTTCGCGTATTACACGGTGGGGAAGTAGGAAAATGGGGCTTTTACTGAAAAACACATATGATGCAAAACCAGGCTGCCAAAAGCCATAGTATTTAAAATGGGATTGTGAAACTCGTTATCTTACATCTATCAAGCTTATGTAGTTATATTATATTCGGATGGGCAACACATATCCCTCCCACCCCCCCTCCCCCCCAACCCCCGGGAACACACCCGGGCATTTGATTTGATTGGTTATGATAGTGTAAATGCCCGGGTGCCGGGACACAACTTGAAGACTAATGCATGGCCGATCCCCGTGAACTGTCTATCTGGCAAATTCCCTGGGGTGTCCCGGGGGGGGGGGATGGTTACTCCAGGAATTGACTCATGCATAACTGCTAGCCTGACAATTTACTCAAAGTTTATACCGTAGTACACATAGCATACAGGGGCGGATCCAGTGTTTTGGGTGACCGGTTTACTAGGTCCACACAAGCACTAGGGGGGTCCGGGGGTATGGTCCCCGGGAAATTTTTAAAATTTGGGCCTCTGAAACAGCATTTCCTGCGTTCTGGCGTCACTTTTTAAATTAATTTAATGATTAGAAAATATATATTTTTAAGAGAATTCTGACTAACACGCAGCTCAAACAATGAATTGAACCTTTTCGGGAACCTATTAGCTAATGCTGAAAATATAGGATTGGCAACTGAATTGCTGACGCATCAATAGTTAATTAGTTATTATAAGTACAACAAGTAGGGATGCTTTTAATATAAATATAGTCGTAATTTTAGATCTATACGCTTTCAAACCAACTTTAACAGTGAACTAGAAACCAAACTGTAAGAGCGTGAATAAAGCTTCACAAATAATCACAATCATTTCCTGATTCTCTCTCGCCAATTCAATGATTCTGTCACGCAAGATTATACGTACATATTTCGCGCTATCATGACTGATAGACTGTAGTTACACGTATAAACATCGATACGCTTGTTGATGAATCGATATTTACTATACAGTGTGTAGAAATAGCTTACAGTTATAACTTTAGACTATATACTTTTAAACAAACCTTCAAAATGAACAAGAAATCCATATAAATGCTTCTATCGCCAACATATTTCGCATATAAACATATTTCGCGCGTCCTCGAGTTCAGTGTTAACTTTCATGCCCAGTTTTCTCTAAATACTGCTCGACTCACAGGTTTATGACCGGTTTACATCCGGCGGAGCGCAGCCTTTTAGCCAATCGAATGGCGTATCGACCGGTTTACTCTCATGGAGAAAACTCTGACCACCGGTTTACTTAGCCTAGTTCCTCGGCCTTCCACCCGCGGGCGAGTTACAGGCTTCATGGAATTTGCAGGCTGCGCGTTTCCGAACAAATCCGAACTGACTCACGGGGGAAGGCCTAGCAAAACTCGCAACGTGTTTACTGCGCATGTCTTTTACGCATATTTTTAAACTCAAATATTCTCTATATCTTCAATTTCAAATATCTATGCCTTGAAAAATTGTAAAAAAACGTCGAAAGATCAAATTTCATCCGAGAATCTGACGAAACCTCATCAGTCATGGTACTGTAAATCTTTTATTTAATACCTCTGTAGCTATATATAGTATATTTTATTGCAAATGTTGAATGATTATTTAATGACACTGATTTCGAGTTTTTAATATTTTTTAATTTAAGTCACTAGCTTATTAGTTATTCACGGAATAAAAGTTAAAAATACTTTGTTTTTTTGACACAGAATTCCTCAGATACTCTGTTGGCTTGTCCACATGATGAGTGTGTTGGTCGGAATGAATTATACAAGAATTTAAGACAGCATTTTTTTACCCAACACAAGTCTGAACAACTTGACATTGAAGCAGCAAAATGTCGCACATTTAACGTCCAAGGCATGTTAATGGAAGAGAAAATATTACTTGCAAGCGAAAGAATGGTAAGCCCTTATTTCTGAAACACTTATGATTTAATAAACATATTTAATTTACTTGATACTCTTGCAGTTTATAATTGAAATATGTGTATCAGTGACAGTGTATACTTACAGGTACTATATTGTGAAAGGTGTATTGTGTATATAGTATATATGGCATGGTTAACATCAGCGGCATATAGCCAATACATTATTTGTGGGGGCATCAGCAATGGGTCAATAAAGTCAGGACTACTGGGACCGATGGTCACAGCATACTCAACCAAAATTGGTGGTTCAATCCAGACACAAAAAAATATCTATCCCAGACGTGTAGTTATGAGCCCCTTTACCCCCCTCCCCCAGCTGAGAAAATGTAAGTACATATAAGTTCTAAATTCATGGAAAATCACAGAAAATCCTGGCTATGTCTCTTTTGTTTCCCTTACTGTAACTAAACACTGATTCTTGTGATGTTTGCAATCATCAGTGAACATATTGTATAACACAGCTTTTTTATACGAAGTTACTCCTAAATTATACAACCATTCCAATTTAGAAGAAAATTACTTCTAGTTTTCTTGTTTTGTCAGCAATCGTGTCCCAGTTGACTGTCTCTGATCTGCACAGAAGAAAGCTACAACCCAATTGATGATGCTATATATACTCTACCACACGAGATATTTAGCAAATATTGGGATATCTAGCAAATCTTGAGTTTGCAAGATTCTCAGAAATGCAGGGGTGGATTTAGGGGAGGGATGCACAGGGGTGCTCACCCCTGTTGACCTTGGTCAAGGGGGGGGGTACGTATAGAGTCGATAAAACACACAAACATATATAAGATGTATTTCTATTTACAAAGTATAACAATCATCAATCCCACATACAGTACACTGAACATTTTCTTGCTAATCTCCACGGACTATAAAACACTCGCTTATGTTTTCTACTTCTAACCGCTGGTCAGTTAATCTGTTATTAAACGTAAACACAACAGGAGGTGGAAAAAATCGTATCAAGTTAAAAAATAGAAATGGCTAATATTGCTATAATTGCCGTAAACCTATCATTATAAGTCTTCAATATTGAAAAGAGAAATTAAAACATGTTTAAATACCAATCAAAAACACTCAAATATGAAAAAAAAGAAATACTTTACTTTTTTTGTCAACCTGAATGCCTAAATCAATGCCCAAATCACAGGAAATGGCATTTCTGGGGTTTAAAGTGCCTTCTGCACTTGAGTCGTTAGCAACCCAATTAATTGAATTCTCTCCCAGCACCCCCTAAAAAATATGGCTGGATCCACCCCTGCAGAAATGTCCCTGCTATAGATGTACAATATAAGTATATGACAATAGTAAAAATGCATGGGCGTAGGGCCGGGGGGGGGGACACATGCCATCCCAGATTTTTTGCAGCTCTGCCAATTTTGAGGTAGATTCGGGCAAAATGGCACGTTCTTTTCCAGGGTAGTTAAAATTTGGGCAACGGGGGGGGGGGGGTCACACAAGATTTTTGGTCGGGCAAAATAATGAGTGCCCCCCCCCCCAACATTATGCAGCCCATGTAAAAATGTGTATTTCTGCATTGATTTAGATGTCAGGAAAAGATTTTACAATAATGTATGGCTCAGAACCTCTCGCTATTAAAGATATTGATCATCACCATGCTGCTCTTAAAGCTGGATATGTTCTTCTAGCAAGAGGAAGGTTGCACAAATATTCAAGCTGTACTAATGAAACCGTCAGTGTCAGTGGATCAAATCTGACACATGTGTACAAAATATGGAAGTCATCCAATTGTGCAGGATTTGAAATTCCAGAAATTGAGTGTGTCAAAACATTTGTGAATAAGAGCTGGTTTCATGTTGAGCATGCAGATAATTATCCTCCAACAGATAAAGAAAACAGTGAGATACTAGATTCACCATCAGAGCATATGACAATAGTCAATGGGGCAACATCATTACCTCAAATTCCTGAAGTTGTTAGTTCAGCTAAGGATTTGTTACCAGTCATGACAAGTATCTGGGAATTTGCTTCATTCAGAGGACAACAGGCTAATGCCATCAATTCAATAGTTAGTGGGAAGGACTGTTTCATAAATATTCCTACGGGAGGAGGAAAATCTCTTCTATACATGTTACCTGCAGTTTCTACACCTGGAATTACCATTGTGGTTGAGCCTATTTTAGCTCTTATATCTGACCAGATAGCACATTGCCAAGAGAGAAACATTCCAGCTGCAGCACTATATGGTGGATTGCAAGAAGCTTATAAACAGCAGGTATTACACGATTTAAAGCTACCTAACAATCCTTTTAAGTTGTTGTATACCACTCCAGAATTTCTGGTCGCTGACATAGCATTACAAAGTGTGTTAGAAAAATTGTCATCACAAGGAAGTATACAGCGATTTGTGATTGATGAATGTCACTGTGTAAGCTTATGGGGAAAGGAATTCAGGCCAGCTTATATGAAACTGGATTTTATACGCAAGCAATTTCCCTCTGTCCCCATTGTTATGTTGACTGCAACAGCTACCAACCAAATACAACAAGATGTATGCTCTGCGCTAGCAGTTACCGAACCAATTGTTATAAGGGACAACTATAACAGGCCAAACCTTGTGTACCATGTTGTCAGAAAAAATGGCAATTTATGTGACAGAATTGTATCAGAGGTTAAAGACTGCGAGTGTTCCATTGTGTATGGGTCAACACGTTCTGAGTGTGAAGCTATGTGCGCCAAACTTTGTGCACGTGGTATCATTACAGATATTTCACAGCACACTCCCTATCAGGGCTTTTCAGTGACTGGTTACATTATGAATAGATAGATAGAACCGGACTGACGTGAAGCAGACCGAGGTACACTTTGAGCTTACAAATGGCGCTTGAGCAGCTGCCGCTATTAGTCCATACCTCATTAATGATCTGCCTCCAGACCTATCCTATCCTATCATTGCGAAGGCATATCATGGTGATATGTCTAAGATACTGAAGCAAGAGATTTATGAAAGATGGAAGTCTGGTGATATTACATGTCTAGTTTGCACCAAAGCATTTGGAATGGGGGTGGACAAGCCTAATGTAAGGATCGTCATACATACTTCAATGCCAAGCTGTATGGAGGACTATTATCAGGAGACAGGACGCGGTGGTAGAGACGGATTTCCCTGTAAGTGTATACTTTACTTCAGTCCAACCGATACCAATCGACATATACAGTCGGTGTATAAGCAACATTACTACACACCAGATGTCTTAAACAATAGATACAGCCATTTCCAAAAATTTTTTTACTTTTGTTTCCAAATTGGTGAATGTAGGAGAAAAATTATTCTGGAGTATTTTGATAGTGGCTATGCAGTATGCAGTGATCACTTGAAATGTGATCAATGTGAGAGTAAATTAGAAACATGCATAGAAGATATTTCAGAGTTAACATGTAAAATAATTGTATGTTTATTAAGCATGAAGGCACTAAACTGCAGGAAGTTTACATTAAAGCAGCTAGCTAATGTGATTACAGGCAAGCGTAACAAAGATGTGAATAAATACAATTATGAAACCGCAGAAAATTTTGGCTGCTACAAAGCTAGTGTTACAGACGGAGAGTATGTTTTGAACATCCTGGTTTACAAGGACATCTTAAGGCTGGTACCACCAGACTCAAATGCAAGAAACCAAAATACATTATACATTGATCTTGGACCCCAGTTTATTTATGTTCAAAACAAACAGCTATCAGTTGCATTTGATAAAGTTAAGAAATAAATTTTCTGGGCTGGAATGTTATGTCAAACAGTTATTTTGTTCCAATGGCGTAGCCAGCCCGACAATTTGGTCATGCTATGCGAATATTTTTGTGTTCATAAACCGTGAAAAGAATCAATTTCTAAAGAAATAAATAATAATGATTTGAAATTTGCATAGCTTGACCAAATTGTCGGGCTGGCTACGCCAATAATGCTTTGTTCCTCAATAAGTTAATATAAATATTTTTCACTTTGAATTATCATTCATGTGGGAATAGTCTGCTTAGTATTTCTGCAATGTTTTTTTCAATGAATAACTTTCTTCGTGACTCTACATCTGTACATTCGCGGGGAATTTTCTTATCACCATTCGTATGTATATCTTTCTTGGTGTGATCCAGAACTGGAATAGCATCTCGATCTTGTGACACAAACCATCCTTGTTTAATTGCAAACCATGCAACTTTTAAGCGATCGGGTAATGCATCTGGTACAACACTTTTTACTCGACTATGTACACCATACCCTTCTTTGAATACTTCTTTGATGTGAACTAGAAGTTCCACGTTCATGTTTACCTTCTTCATCATTGACAAAGTACTGTGATGCTTAGCGAATATCTTTAGTGGGCGAACCATCACAGTCTCGACAAACTCATCTAATGCCAGGTTATGGCCAGCCCTTCCTTTATATGAAATAGATGAATTTTTTCTGTACATTTCACGAATAGCGCTTGGCCACAATGCTGTGAAGTTTGTGATGTGAGCTATAGCTTCGTCTTTGTAGTTTTTCTTATTTAATGCACAAAACAGAAGAAGGCTTGACAACCAACAGGATTCCCTTGTTTTTGCGTTCCCATATCGAACAGACTCGTGGAATGCTAACAACAATGGACCAAAACTTGTAATAAATTTACTATGATATTCCACGACTACGTCAGTTCTACTTGCTTCTTGTAGGTATGCTTTCAACCTGTTCAATAGTATGTCATTAACATTTCCATTGTTCGCTTGGGCATTTGATAATGTTTCAGTGTCTGGAAAAAATCCAGATGATCTGAAGGAAGCAACTGATGCAATACAAAGTCCCCAAAAGTAATCATTTAAAGCATCCATATTTCTCTCATAGTTACCTTCTTTAAATGCGTCAATAAATGACTTTGGTGTCACTTTCAGCCGTCCTAATAATTGTCTTAAAGTGTAAAAAAAGCCCCCAGGCCCCGATATACGAGATAGACATTCCATAACGTAACCTTGGGTGTGAAAATCTCCCGGAACTTCTTTGAAAGATCCAAATTCATCGGGTGCTCTATTTCGGACACCGCGTAAAGTCGATGTAGACTTCGCATCCCCAACTGTTAAATTAAAATTTAAGCGGATGTCTTCTCCTTTTACTTCCGGTTTCTCTGCTTCGTCTGACCCTACATCACTGGGATTCAAGTGCAATGGTTCTTTAGACAAACCAATGTCTTCACAAACTCTGTGCCTTGCCTGTTTTTCATATGTTGTCCTGTCTTCAAGAATTTGCATGATAGCTTCATTGCCAATGTTACATGCCATTTGAATTGGATTCGGTATGTTTCCTTGAAAGCTACCATTGATTCGTGCTCCATATTTGATTAAAATTTTCACTAATTCTGGTTTGTTATTGTTTATTGCAATCATGATGGGGGTAACTCCACAACCTTCGGACATATTGACACAAGCACCAGCCAAAAGCAGACTTTCCACTAAAGGAATACAACCATCTTGAACAGCATGATGTAATGGAGAACATCCAAAATCATCTGTCAGGTCAATCCACATTCCGCTTATGGACTGTAAAAACAATACTCGGTCTTTCATGTTCGTGAAATTAGATGTGCCTTGCTTCAGTTTCTTCATGACCTCCTTTGTGTGATTTGATAATTGCTTCATGCGCGTTTTAAATGATGCTGCACAATCCGCACCACAAGCCATTGCAGCATTGTCAGGAATCTCGAGGTCATCACCTTCCTCTGCTTCTATATGTTTACGTAATCTTTCCATATCTTTGCTATGGCATTCCATATCTTTATAAAATGTGTAACGTTCTCTAGCAGCGTGGATGTTAAACTTCTTGGTTGTTTCATTGTATTTAAGATAATCATGTGTTTTGTCAATTGTTATATCCATATCTCTTGCGAATTCACGCATGACAGAAGCAGTACCAGTTGTTAGCGATTCGTCTTCTATGGAAAGTGGTAGAATCATTATGTTAGGTTTGTTATTGGATTCCGGGTATTCTCGCTCGACTGCAGGAACATGAACTTCAAAATCGTTTCTCTTACTTATCTTGTAACTCTCGTCGTTGATGTAGTCATCAAAATCTTTTTCTGACATATGTTCAATGCAATCAGAGTCGAAATTTAATACATTTATAACCATATCAATCGCTTCAATCAGAAAACTGTCATAGCGTTGCTGGAGTAATTTCTGTAGATCTGGATATGAACCTGGCAAAAATAAACAAGCCTATTTATAATTTGGATCCAGATGCATGCAATATGTGTTTATTATGCAATTCACAAGATGTTCATATATCACTAATTAAAAAGAAATTAAACATATTTTAAGTAACATTTTAGTACAAGTATGTATAAAACCTGAACAGATTCAAGTACGGTTTAGTGATTGAGATATTTACTTACAATGCAATGCAATGCAATGCAATGCAATGCAATGCAGTACATTTTATTACTTACTTAGTAAGAAATCGACTGCTTTCAGATCCTTAAGTGGTCTTTGGGGTGTAAGATCCAAACTTCTTGGATCCTTTCTTGAATCTTGGAATTTACATTCACGTATTTCTGTCGTAATTCGTGAGCCACAACCACATGCTTTATCTCCACCGGATTCAAGCTCGTCAAACGAAGCTGCACTGCCTGTTGAACAGGTATTAAAATAATTTTACTGGAATTAAAAGTTTGCTATATAAAATAAAAAACTTTGGTACACAGTGCTAATAACCGTCACATATTTGCTTGCTTTCTATAGGTCAAAACTGATGCAAGTATTGAGAACTCAAAGACGAAGTTGCGCTCAGAAGTCATAAAACAAATAAAAGATCTATTTGAGTTAAAACAATTGGGTGCAATTACCGAAGAGGAATATGAAGAAAAAAAGAAAATATTATTAAAATATATATAAAATGCAATGTAAGGATTAGACGCTGGACATTTCATGAGCCGAACTACATTAACTAAATTAAGTATACATGAGAAGCACAGCATCTGCATCAAATAAGCTCTACATTATTATATTAGGTACGCCTGAATTAAAATGTTCCGATCCCCTGGTTCAGGCGTGTTTCAAGGCTGGATCAAGCACTGTTGATTTATACAACCGTGCTTGTAATGAGCTGTAGCAATTGTATAAAGTAATTATGATAATGGTGAAATGCGCATATATTTTTATATATTGTTTTCGTCCTCGCAATGTGCATCACATTGGCGGTTCACAATATTCTTTTCAGGATAACAGTAGCCATCAAGATATTAGGCACCGCTCTTTCTGTTGTTATGAGCGTCACTCGCCCCAGGCAAGAAGCGCGGATAATTAAATACGGCTGATAAAAAGCAGGCCTGTTTGAGATTAAACAGTATACGCCTATTTAATCGACTGAACTATGAATTCGGCTCACGGGAAAAACCGGCGTCTAAACCGAGCCTACCGTTAAGGCCAAGTTTTAAACAAAGCAAAGCAATATTTGCTACGACATGCAACGCGATTTGTCACAGCTTATTGCATCTAACGATATTTTCGATTAGTATATTTTATATTTTCTCAATTTTTCATTCTCTGTGTCATACGAAGTTTTTCTTTCTGAAATGATGTTGTAAGTTGTAGCAGAAGGGAATGGCAACAAAATTATATTTGGCTGATTTGAAAGGATATTTTGGAAAACCATGTTAATTTTTGAGGTATTTGGAAATAAAATATTCTGCCATCCGCCATTTTGTTCCATAATAAGATCTAATTAAATTACGTCACGACCAGGGTAGACGTTTTAAAACTAAAAAAAATAACATCAGTCTAACGCTTATATATACATAGTTTGCGATTTAATTTAAAACGGACAATAGTAAAAAAATAGGGTAAAATGACCCGAGAATTGACACGAGAATTGCTCAAGTTGAAAACAATAATGTCACCCTGGTACTGACGTCACGCATATCCGTCAAAATGTATAATAATTTTGCTATGAATGAAGTGTAGTATCTCTTGTACAAAGAACGACGTCGACAGAGAAAATCTGTTAAAACGTTTTAAAACATATCGAATCTCTCTTCCAAATGGGAGAAACTTAAGTTTTGTTTCTATTTACCTTTTTAAAAATTCAACAAGCTAAATTTTAAACAACATTACTTCAACAAGCCAAATATACTGTAGCCAGTATATATGCATATCTCCCTTCCAATTACCAAGTATTATTTGTCCAAATACATGTCAGATTAGCGGGCTTGTATCGCGTACTGTTTGAACGTTTAAATCGTTGTATCACAATTATTGTTTGATGGGGAATAACAACAAAAATTAAGATTTTTCTGTGTTGGTGTAATGTACTCAGGTGAATATGATACTTGTGATGTTATCCTGAGTGTATATCCACACCGGGCAAGCTTGAAAAATATGCCTGACCACGGTGGGAATCGAACCTACGACCTTTGGAATGCTAGCCCAATGCTCTGCCAACTGAACTACGCGGTTGTACTTGTTGGCTTGCACCAACACAGAAAATATCATTATTACTAGATTACATTGATATCGAAGGAACTAGATTCTGTTCCGAAATATATCGCATACTCGAACCGACCAGACCGCGTAGCTCAGTTGGCAGAGCATTGGGCTAGCATTCCAAAGGTCGTAGGTTCGATTCCCACCGTGGTCAGGCATATTTTTCAAGCTTGCCCGGTGTGGATATACACTCAGAGTAACATCACAAACATCATATTCACCTGAGTACATTACACCAACACAGAAAAATCATGATTGTTATTAGATAACATTGATATCGAAGGAACTAGATTCTGTTCCGAAATATCACATACTCGAACCGATCAGACCGCGTAGCGCAGTTGGCAGAGCATTGGGCTAGCATTCCAAAGGTCGTAGGTTCGATTCCCACCGTGGTCAGGCATATTTTTCAAGCTTGCCCGGTGTGGATACACACTCAGAGTAACATCACAAGTAACAAATATTAAGTTTCCCTAATTTGAAAGAATGTTAAGATTATTTACAAATCCTTTTTATCTCAGTTATAATTACCCTGGGTGCGAGGGGTTCTTCCACGCTCGTAAAAGGATAATGAGATATTCACTAGGATCCTCCTACGAGCGTGGAAGAACCTCAGGCACCCAGGGCATCTCAATGTTTGATATACTTGAAAATAAAATATCCCGCTATCCCCTTTCTTGTTGTATAATTAGATCTAATTAAACGACGTCACGACATGCAGGGTAGACATTTTGAAAATAAAAATATATTTCCAGTGACCAGTTTAAACATAGCTTGTGCTTTAATTTTAAAATATATAATGGTAAAAAATATAATTTATCTTAAAATGGCGCGAGAATTGCTCATAACGTACAAAATAATGTTACCCTGGTTGTGACGTCACGCATTTCCGACGATGAATATGCATATTCAAGATATATGATTTCGTTTAGAATGAAGGGTAATATATTTTATACCAAAAACAATATCGAAAATTTGCAGAAAATCTGCATATCTCTTCTGAATGGAAGGTTTCTATTACTAGAAGATTAAGTTTGCTATTTTTATTTAATTTTTGCGAAAACTTCTTCGAATGGATTCAAACAGGGACTACAAGGTGGCAAAAACGGAAAATGGCTCCACAATCATAATTATGTTCTATAATATCTTGGAAATGATGTACGGCGGTTATCTCGTTGAAAAAATCACATAACGTCGAGCAGAAAGTAAGGTAAATACGTACGTGATTCACTCTCTTGGCAAATTGATGTATGGTGAAAAACATTTTTCCTGTCTTGTGGGCGTCGCTTGATCCTTGCTCTCATGTGTGTTGTGGCTGACATTACAGTGAATTTTTTTTTAGTATCGAAATACCATTTGAAAAAAGATTCAAACAGACTAATATATTTCTACTTTCTCTCATCATTAACCCTTTAAGTGGCAATGAACCCTGGTGCGCCCTATCTTGGATTATGGGATGTGCGAGAACTGAGAAGCGCACGAAGCCTTCGCAGTTATTTTACTCCTTGGAATTGCTATCTGTTCTGACTCTTAACAGCTCAAATAAAAACGGAAAATGAAAATATACTGGGGGGCCCTATCCGCGGGGAGTCCAAATCGGCTGTGACGGGATGAAACTCAGCCCGGGTTCAAAACTCCATATAATCAGCCCCTTTCAAAATCACATTGTCCACTATTATATTTAAACTTTTCCTATTCCTATTGGAGGGGTTAACGTGCCCCAACAGTCACTGAAAATCATTAACTTATGCTAGAAATTTCATCGACGTAACTAAACAAGAACCAAACACACTCGTTCGCCAAATTTTCGTCGACGGCGGGCGAAAACGTTAACACTGTAAGTGGAAACTCGGCTTTACTAGGCACACACTTCAAGCATCACAGTAACAACACGTTTTAACTATGTTCACGATCTTCGGTAGTACTCACATACATTTGATCCCATAAGAAATAATATATATAAATATATATATATATATATATATATATATATATATATATATATATATATATATATATATATATATATATATATATATATATATACGAGTAGGTTTGTGTATACGAAACGCAAAGAGTGCTCAATATCATAAAGATAGAGCAAATGTAGAATTTCGCTTACCTCAAAATTCCGCAACAGTCTGTTTCATCAGTAAAGAATCATCAGACGGTATCTGATTCTTTACTGATGAAACAGACTGTTGCGGAATTTTGAGGTAAGCGAAATTATATATATATATATATATATATATATATATATATATATATATATATATATATATATATATATATATATATATATATATATATATATATAGGTTGAATTTAAAAGACTTTGTTTGAACAATAGAGTTAATCAAGCGAATTATTATAATTAGGATATGGACAGTTTAAATAGTTGAAATCAAGTGTACACATGCAATCTGAAGAAGGGGCTTGCCCCGAAACGTAATAAAAAGTTGTTGTATGAGCTCTGATGTATCATTGAATGATGTGTCATATATATATATATATATATATATATATATATATATATATATATATATATATATATATATATATATATATATATATATATATATATATATATACGCACATGAGAGAAAAATAAAGGTCCGCCCGTATTCTGAAAGCTAACCCACATTCAATGAGTGGAGGTTCAATCTCAGCCTCTCTTGACTGTCAATGCTGTTTTTCAATAGCTAGAGGATTGGTGTCGCCTGCTTACTATGTGACTACTCTCTGCACCCTCCAGCTATTCAAAAACAGCATTTACACTCAAGAGATGCTCAGATTGAACCTTCACTCAATTAATGTGAGTGACCTTTTAGAATACAGGCGTAAGGATTAACTTTGTTAGCCTGTTGTCATTCAATACGTAACTCGCTATATGATGATACCGCTATAACAATCACAGGAAGCGGATAGCCGATTTTTTCAGCAGCCTTATAACATTGTTAAAATTTGAAAAAGTTTGTGCATATAAAAACAACATAACACGCCGCATCTTAATTCTCCGAATATATATCTCGTAACAAAAAAATATATACGCAAATGAGACAAGAATAAAGTTCCACACTTCGTACGGCTGTAAAAGAAATATCTAGAACATTTGTTACCCACAATATTCGCGAGAAATACGTTGTATATTTTCAAAAGATTCTGCCTCAGCAAGACTGGCCATCGATGACTATAAATAATATCTCATGCAGAGATTCTCGGAGGGACAGAGACCATTACCAGTGTGTTTCCGCTCTCCAAAAAGTCAGGGCCTTTCAGAGGGGGCACAGCTGGGGGCAATTTGCGCCGGCCGCGCCCCCAGTTTAAGGGGGACCCCAAATTTTCAAAATTAAAAAATAATTTCGAATGTGTTTTGCTATAAATAATTGTATGAGAAAAAAAATTCTAAACAAAATTTTACATTTATTGTTGGAAAAATGGGTCTGACCCATGTCGAATTTGTGGGGAAAAAAATTTTTGAACCTTAGTTTAACCCGTGTTGGACCAGAAAATTTTTTTGACCCTTTTTTAATGTCCAGAAAGAGTTTTCACCCCCCTCTTCCGCTCGCCAACCTTTTGGGGAAAAATAGGGGCCACCGAAAAAATTGCCCGGGGCCTCCGAATTTCTCTGATGGGCCCTGATTATCGTAATCGCCATTTTATATGAAAATAATTATTAGTCGATGGCATTACGATGTCATGTTAGCAATGTTAGTATGGCCACGGTCAGTGACTGAGTAATTATTGAAGACAATAAATATTATAAAACCCCTTCCGCGAATATTGATTTTTAAGCAGTTTCGGGCTTCGCATAGCCTGCTTGCCATCCGAAGGGCCCGCCGCGCCGTTTGAAAGCGTACGAAATTTTGAAATTAGGTGGTCTCACAAACTATTAATCAAAATCGAATGGCATGCATGCTTTGAAACAATTCATGTCAACCAGATGGCAATCCCAATGCGGTCAATGCCAATAAATGGCAATTTTAATTCAGCTATAATTTGTAATTATGAAACATATAATGATCTATAACTAGTATACCTATCAGTAGTATAAGCTGACTTGCTCCTTAATTTGACGATATATTAAAAACGGCCAGATCTTTCCATATTAACGTACGCTCCTAACCCGTCGTAACTGTAAGCTCAACACTAACTTAATCGTTGTGATGTCATTATTGTGAATCAATTATGAGTAAATCCTTGTTTCTGTCACAAATATATTTCTCTGATCTTGACCGTACTGACAACCCATCTCTAACCCTAGCCTGCGCGCAGACTATATATTCACATATATAGTCTGCGAATCCGCGACACGAAGCTTGTATGGTCACGTGGATTTCCCAAGAAAAGTTGGGACGAATTGTGATTGGTTGAACTATAATTATGCAAAATTAATGTTAATTCATCGGAGATATTCATTAATGACACAATATCAATATGGCGTCGAACATCATGCCTATGGCACTGGAAGGCGAAACTTTTACAGAGGCACTTCGCGTTGTTTGCGGGTTCTTTCAAGTGGAAAAACTGTACACGTTGCAAATAATAGCTCTCAAAAACTTTTTTCTCGGTAACAATATCTTTTTCAGTGCTGGCACAGGTTATGGTAAATCGTTAGTGTTTCAAGCAATTCCACTCATGGCTGATCTTCTTGAAGATCAAGTTGTGGGAACCAGTATAGGCATAACTATATGTCCTTTAGTGTCTCTTATGCTCGACCAAGTTGCATATTTAAAATCAATTGGACTGAACGCTGCTGCTGTATATAATGGCCAAGACGAGGAAATCTTGAGAGACGTGGAAGAAGGTCTGTTTTCTCACATATATGCTACTCCAGAGTCTATGCTGAGTGTGAAGCGATGGCAGAAGATGCTTCAGACACCTTATTTTATCGAGCATTGTATCGTTGTTGCCATAGACGAAGCTCATTGCATTAGCAAATGGTAAGCTTTGTTTTTGACAAAAGATTTAATTCTTTTATTTCTTGTAGTTGTATATCTTTAAAAATTCAGTAGCAAATGAATAAGTATCATTGACCTCATTGTCCAGTATGTCTCATTGTAATTGTACAGGGTGTATAAAAAAAAAGGAGACCTTTAGAAATCAAGCATATTGTTAAAATTTGAATGCCTTTTCAATTGCCCATATGCTGAACCGTAGTGCGTGAAATATTGATGGGGTGCATATATTAGAAAAGGGAGACCTTTAGAAATTGAAATAACGTTTAAACAAAAGATTGTCGGCTCCTGGGAACAATCTGCCATGCATACTGTACGTAGATCGCATGTTACGCACTTGTCAGTCGTGGGCTAAGCAAAGTGCTCCAGGATTCAAATTATAACAATGGTTGATTTCTAAAGGTCTCCTTTTTCTAATATATGCACCCCATATGTGCAATTGAAAAAGCATTCAAATTTTAACAATATGCTTGATTTCTAAAGGTCTCCTTTTTTATATACACCCTGTATATGCCTGGGCTCGATTACTCAAATACTGCGGTATTATGCTGATCATGCCTTAATTACTGAAGGAAAGTTTACTTGAAACACTTCGTACCCTGGGGGCAGCTGTTCAAAAGCCGGTTAGCTTAATCTTGGGTTAATTTATAACATAAAGTTCAAAGCAAACTTCCCAGCAGTCTGTTTACAAATCTGGAAACATTTCAGAAATCTGTCTGGATCGTTAGGAATTTAATTTTCAAAAGTTCTGAAATAAACAAACATGCAGAAATACTTAAACCAAAACAATGGATTAAATTTTAACCCAGAGTTAGTGCTAATTATCCTTTGAACAAGCGGACCCTGCATTGTTTTCTACAAGGGGTATGGGTAATATAGATTACCCCATTACACTCCCCTTGACAAGCAAAATCATATGGCATTAGACATAGTAAAATAATCTCCAATTAGACTGAATAAAATAAAGTAGAAATAATCATTAGAAAATATGTTTACTTTTAGGGGGCTTCCTGGAACAAAACCTGTTCCATTTAGAAAGTGGTATGGCAACCTAGGAGAGTTGAGATCCCTCTTCAGCAATGTGAATTTTGTCGTATGCACTGCAACAGCTACCATTTCTACTCGAGAAAAAAATTTTAATGTTCTGGCACTGACCCAAGCAAATACATTCAAAATTGAAAAATAAGTCCAGATCGTGAAAACCTGCATTACATCAAAAAGTATGTGGAGAATAACTTGCCAATGAGTGATGTTTTTGGCAAGGTAATTGAAGAGGTTAAGATTGACAAGGAAGGTACTTCTAGAACAATTATTTATTGTCAAACGAGGAAACAGTGTGCAATTTTGTGGAGAATTTTTAATAGAACTGAAAGAAAACATGTATTTTCAAAATAGTGGTGTTACGAAAGATTGCCTTGTTCAGATGTTCCACTCTGGTACACCGAATTTAACAAAAGAACTCATCCTTAATAACATCTCAGATGTAAATGGTCATATTCGGGTTCTTATTTGCACCATTGCTATGGTATGGGTATTAATTGCAAAGGAGTTCACAGGGTGATTCACTTTGGTCCATCATCAGACATAGAAAGCTATGTGCAAGAATGTGGGAGAGCTGGACGAGATGGCCAAGAGAGTACCCGTGTCTTGCTTTATAATTCATTGCTGTCATCACGTTGTTCTGATGATATGAGGGGTTACTTAAATAATGAAGAATGCAGAAGAAAGGAACTACTAAAGGTTTTCCCAGGCAATCATGGTGTTACAGTCCAAGGCTGCAAATGTTGTGATGTTTGTGCAGCTACATGTTTGTGTGCTGGTCAGTTTGGCAAGTGTTCTTTATCTATGTCCTTAGAAACAAGCAAGATGGATATTGATGTGCATCAGTTCAAGAAAAGCAGGGCAGTCAGTGATTACCAAAAATCTTTGGTACAATCAAAATTACTCTGCTATATGAATGACTTAAGGGATAAATCAGTCAAGCCGGTGTTATATCCAAATATTTATTTTGAATTTGGCATGCCTCAAATTGCACAAGTGGTTGACAATTGTTTTAAGTTATTTTCTATTGCCGATATTAAGAACTCTGTTGAGATATGGCGAACTGAATATGCCAGGAAAATCTTAATTATGTTGAATGATGTATTTCAGGACATACCTGACCTTGAATTTGAGGAAAGTGATGATGAGTTTGAACTCACTGTGGACTCTGAATGGGAGGATGTCAGAGATGATTCAGACATTAACTTTCTGCATAATACTACTAATATTTCAGACATAAGCAAAGCAATGAGTGAAATTGATCAATCAAATCAAACAATTTTGGAAAGTAGTGACATAATATTAAATACTTTAGCTTGTGATGTAGCCTGCAATATTAATACTGATGATAATGATATTGTCTAGATGTCAATGACAATTGAAAGTTTACCTACATATGGTATATGTATGGTCTGAGATATATACAAGATCTGTGATATATATATATATATATTTAGTGCTTACTACAGTTGCAATTACAAGATCCCTTTAAATGCTTTAAAGGATTTAAGTGTCACACCATTGTATTGCTGGTGTTTGTTGTTTTTACGTTATCTAAAAGCAACAAATAATGCTAAAAATGCATTGCCTGGTAGATTTCCAATACGAATCATACAAAAGAAACTAAGATTCTCAAAATTACAAAATATTTTTCCATATCTGTTGATATGCTTGACCCATAAAATCGCTGCCAACAAACATTTTAGACAACAGTACCATGGTGTGACTCTTTTTTCTTACTTTTTTGTGGCAACACCCTTGCTAAAACACACTGTTCTAAACTGCATGTACCTAATATAAACATGTTCTGTGATTGGCTTACCAAAACATAAGTGATCAGTGTTTACGACTTGTTCTTTAGAAAGGTGATATACAGAGTTTGTTTTTGTCCTTTTAAAATTTTTATCACCCAAGGCTCAAAATAATGGCCGATATGTCTTCGGTCAGAATGACCGTTCAACTTTATTTTAACTCGGTCAAAAATTTTTTTGATCAGTCATGAATACGCATATACTAACAGTGACCGGTGAGGCAATAAATTCACTGGTCGGCAGGCATGTTTGGCCGGTCATCGTCCGTTTACCAGCTGTCTGTTATTTTGAGATCTGTATTCAACCAATCACACAACTTGTTAATTAATATAGGTACACACTACACACTATACATACATACATACATGCACACAGTACACTTTTTCCAGTTCACCATAACATTACAATGGGTTTACCTAGCAGTTTTGTGTAAGAAAATTGATTTCTTATGTTCATTTAACCATTTAAACATTGATTGCAAATCAAATTTGTCTAAAAGTGAGGGTGGAATGATGGCAAATTTCTTGTATTTTCTGTTGGATTGTTCAGTAAAAGCATCACATTTTACCAACTCCCCTACCACTTTCTGCAAGTCCTTGATATCCCTTTTTTTAACATGATGACCAGATCGTCTAAACAGCGTACAGTCTTGGTCAAAATTGTCCATTAATTGTTTGGTAACTGTAATCGACTTGCAGAAACGGTTAGCTGCCTTTTCACTAGAAGCATTCGGTCCCATCTTTTTAATGACTTCTTTTAACACTCGGTTATAATGTTCCAAAGCAAGATCGAGAGGAATGTTACCCCCTAGGCCATATTTGGCTTTAACAGAGCGGTTCCAAATTAACCTGTGGGCATCTTTTGGAGAAAGTAGGGCATATATCTGGCATAGGATTGTGAGACCTTCTAATGCATACTTACAACCTCTTTGGCCATCATTTTTTAAAAAGAGAAGAAAGAATTTCCAACATCGGATTATCCGCTCACCGTCTCCTTCAGACAAAGCATCACAGAAATTTAAGAACAGCATTCCATACTCGAGGAGAGCATACTGATAATTCAACATGTCATCTCGATTTTTTGATGCAATTGATGTATCATTGTGTAACGTTGACTGTGATGTTTGTTCATGCAGTCCATGAGTCTTTTCATGTGATATGCGTCTCTTACCATCATGACTGAATGTCTTAGTGCATCCTGGATACCTGCATGGGTAACGGCCATTAGAGTCTGAAGATCCTTTGTTGTTCTCCAAATGTTTAATCAAAGTATTTACTTTATCTTCATGCAAAATGAATTTATCAACAATTCTTGAAGACAAGTCTTTGAGAAACTCTCTTTTGGTAGCCAAAGAAGCTGTTTCTAGAGAAGGTGGCATGAAATTTTCAGCAGGTTTATCATCAATAGTATTCATCTCTAAGATATTTAATGCTGCAGCAACGACTCTTGCCTCAATCTCCATGCTGAAGAATTGTTTGCAGGCACTAAACTTATGCTTGACTTCTTCAACCACATTTCTTCTGTTGATCAAATTCCGGTCTGAAAACAGGGTACATTGATCAGAGGTAGCACCTGGATGGTAGAAATAGTCGAATGCAACCTAAAATAACAAAATTCAAAGAATATGCAACTGTTACAGTATGTTACAGCAATACTGCAACATCATTCGAGGTTCTGTAGTATGCAATTGTGTCAGAGTACAATAATTCCAGGTTTTCAGCCGTATCCAAAACACGCTAAGCAAGTGCCATTTTTGTCAACATGGATGTCACATGAAAATTGGTTTATATATTAACTACAGTGAAACATGCAATTTGATTGGTCAATAACCGTGCAGGATCAGGCTATCCTGTACGAGAAATTAAAATGCTTTCGTGGGATTCTCAAAATGTCATTGTTTCACTGTAGTATTTTATAAAACAATTACCAAATGGTTTTCCGTCTACAGGATTGCTTGATCCTTGCACGAGGAATGTTGCGAGACTTTTGGAAAGCGTAAAAGTGCAATCGCCTGTGGCTTCAGTATTTTTACGCTTTCCGAAAGTCTCGCAACATCCCTCATCACACAGTTTTTAATATACTTCTCTCAATACATGTAATACCAGCAAAATTTGAATGAATTACCCGTTGGTTCACTATAATTCAGTAGTTAATTTTTAAAACATTTACCAAATAGTTTTCCGTGCAGAATAGCAATGTCCATGCACTTGGGATGTTGCTCGACTTTCAGAAAGTGCAAAAACACACTTGACTCTGGCTTGTGTGTTTTTATGCTTTCCAAAAGTCTTACAGCATCCGGTGTGCAGGTATGATGCTATCCTGTATGGAAAACCATTTGGTATTAATGGGTTAATTACAGTACTGTACATACTGTATATACAGTCATGTACCTGTAAGAATTTCATCTGCGCATGAAAATCGGCTATCTCCATGTGGAGTCCTTCTTTCCTTTCTTCGGGATTGAGACCATTAGCAACTTGCAAGAGATGATTTATTCCACGCTCAATTGACAATTGGTCACCTACTACTCCTTGGCTCATCAAATAAGCTTTCTCTTCTTCATCACCAGAACATGGTACATACTTGTTAATTTCTTCCATCACATATTCAATGCCTTCGTTTGTGTTCTCATCATGAAATAACATCCCAAGGAGAACCTTGTGAAACATACAGTAAAAGCTTATGCATAATGTTGATCCATTAATGCATTGGCATTAGTTGGCAGTAGTTTTCATAATCCATTGTATTTTTCATGATCCATTGTATTTTTCATGTAGTTGTGTGTATATATATGTATATATATATATATATAT